CATCCATCCAATCATCCATCCATCCATCCATCCATCCATCCAACCATCCATCATCCAACCATCCATCATCCATGCATCCATCCATCTATCATTCATCCGTTCATCCATCCATCATCCTTTTTTTGAGCCATCCATCCAATCATCCATCCATCCATCCATCCATCCATCCATCAAACCATCCATCATCCATCATCCGTCCATCCATCCATCCATCCATCCATCAAACCATCCATCATCCATCATCTGTCCGTCCATCCATCCATCCATCCATCCATCAAACCATCCATCATCCATCATCCGTCCATCCATCCATCCATCCATCCATCAAACCATCCATCATCCGTCCATCCATCCATCCATCTGAAGAAATTTATTTAGTCGTTAGAAACTGATTTTAGAATTAAAAATAAAAAAATAGTATAGGTCTTCTGGACGGGTTCTTCTCTAATGAAACGTTTCGTCTCTCCTCCAAGAGACTTCTTCAGTCTGAGAGTTTCAGGCTAAATTCAGGCTTTTAAGTCCTGTGATTTTAGAATCATGACACCATATTCATAGTTTTCTTTTTGATTCTTATAATCTATTGTTACGTCTTGATTAAAACAGGTTTAGATACATGTCTGAAACATCATGACAACACATAATAAAACTGTTTATGATAAGGATCAGGAGAGCATTGCTGTTCAGAGTGTCTGTGATTCAGCTGTAAACCTGTAGAGGGCGTACCAGGCACTGAAGACCTGTGTATTTATGGACCAGGACTTCCGGTTTGCACAGAGAGCATTAAACCACTGTTCACTGCAGTAACTGGTGTTGTTTGGTCCATTCTCTTCACATTTTAATCTGTTCAACAGTGATGTGGTTTCATCTTAACGAACACTAAATGTTCTTACATCCATGGATGATTTAGAGTAAATCCAGTATAAATCTGTGAAGTTGGTTGTTGTTGAATCATTTTATTCTTTTATTTGATGATGGAATGTCACAGCTTCATTATTTCTGGTTTTAACTTGATTATTTTAATAAAGTAATGTTTCGCAGCAGAAAGCTTTTGACTCAAATAACAACAATCATGTTTGTGTTTCTTCTGTCTTTCAACAGTTTGCCTCCAAACGTTCCTGCTGCCAACTCTGTGCCTCACAAACCAAACCTGGGTAAGAACCAGCTCAGAACCTGAGGGATCTGCTTCTGGTTCTTCTGGACCTGTGGTTCTGAACCTGCAGCTGGAAACCACAGGAGATTGAAGTGTTGTTTTACTTTAGACACGATGAAAACTTTAATCTGCAGTTTATCCTGATGCTGCTGAGAGCTGAAAGAACAGAACCTGGTTCTGTTTGAGGTTCTGAATGGTTCTTCTGCTGGTAACGTCTGACATCAATGTTTACAGCTGAACACAGGAGCAGCGTCGCTGGTTTGGACCGACACTCGTTCAGACCTCCTGCTCCTCCCACAGCTTCATCCTGCCAGGTAACACACACACACACACACACACACACACACACACACACACACACACACACACAAACTCATCACATACGTGTGTGTTTGCAGGATCTGGACCATCGCTGGTATGTTGGCAAAATGACCCGTGGTCAGGCTGAAGGCTGTCTGAGACAAGTCAACAAGGTAACCAGAACCAGAACCAGAAGTCTCTGAGCTGAGGCTTATTTATTTATTTAGTTTATTTATTATTTATCTAGTTTATTTATTATTCTTATATTATTCTCAGCTTTTAATCAGTGATAAGACGTTAAACTGTTATTTCACCACAGCGGTGTGTAGGACAGTTAGGCCACACACGAACATCACAACAAAATCATAAAAAGAATTTTCAAAGATTCAGACTTTTATTTTGAAATATCTGGTTACTGGAGCAGGAAGTGTGACCACGTGTTGGGGGAATTGATGGTGATGAACAGAGTTGTGAAAAAGATTTTCTCTCCAGGCTCCATGATTGTTTTAGATCCTCTCAGCTCTTCATGTGGTCGTTTGTTCAGAAAATACAGAAAAAGTGCTGAAGCTTCACTAATCACATGTGTGTCACTAATCACGTGTGTTTCACTAATCACGTGTTTCACTAATCACATGTGTGTTTCACTAATCACATGTGTGTTTCACTAATCACGTGTGTGTTTCACTAATCACGTGTGTGTTTCACTAATCACGTGTGTGTTTCACTAATCA